GGCCAATTTACACCGGCACGGACTCCGAACTGCCCGTTAGCATCTTCAAGAAAACAACTCTCACCATCATCACCACCTCCCTTCTCATCCCCGGCGACGGCGAACCCATCAAAGATGCCGCTCTCGTCATATCATCAAAGCTCATCGCCTGGATCGGCCCGCAGTCGTCAATCCCTAAAGAGTACACCGACTCTCCTCACAAGTCCTATTCCACCCCATACCTGATGCCCGGTCTCTGGGACTGTCACGCTCACTTTGGGGGAGAGTCTCCCGACGCAGGATCCAGTGGCGATCCCTACCAGGTCTTTATCACAGAGCACCCCGCCGCATCCGGCGCCCGTCTCACGCGCATGTGTTGGCTGGCTCTGCAGCGAGGATACACGTCCCTCCGCGATGTGGCTGGCATGGGCTGCGAGATCTCCCGCGCCATCGAAGATGGATCCATTGTAGGACCCAACGTCTACAGCTCCGGCGCGTGTATCAGCCAGCTGGCTGGCCACGGTGACATCTTCTCTCTCCCGGCTGGAGATGTGCTGTTGAACTTGGGCGTGTCGCAAGTCACTGCAGGACACTTTGGCACTGCAACGAGCATGATCGTGGACGGCGTTGATGAGTGTCGCCGCGCCGTCCGATTGCAAATTCGGCGAGGGGCAAAGTGCATCAAGGTCATGGCATCTGGCGGCGTGATGTCTCGTGACGATAATCCGCTCTACGCGCAGTTTAGTCCCGCGGAACTCGAGACGGTCGTGGAAGAGGCAAACAGACAAAATCGCGTGGTCGCGGCGCATGTCCATGGCAAGCCCGGCATCATGGCCGCCATCAAGGCTGGCGTCACGACGTTGGAGCATGTCTCATTTGCCGACCGCGAGTGCATCGATCTCATCAAGGAGAAGGGCATCATATACATTGCCACACGTCTCGTCATGGACTTGCTGCTCGGCACCGGAGGGAAGGGGATCCCTCCTACAGCTTGGGAGAAAGTGAAGCTGTGTGCCACGAATCACTTGGCGGCATACAAAATGGCCATCGAGGCTGGTATTCCGATTGCCCTAGGTACAGACACGGGACCCGGGTTCAACATGGCAATGGAGTTGGAGGCGGCCGTGAAGGCAGGAATGAGCAATCTGGAGGCTATCAAAGCGGCGACCGCGAATGGACCGCTCAGCGTGGGTGGACAAGCGCCCAAGACAGGACAGCTCAAGGCTGGTTATGAGGCAGATGTTCTTGGTCTGTTGGAGAACCCGGTGGAAGACGTCAGGGTGCTGCAAAAGATTGAGAATGTCGCATGGGTCTGGAAAGGAGGTTCTCTCTTCAAGGGGCCCGGTGTTGGACCCTGGGGTGAGGATCCTAGTTCCTTTGACGAGTGGTCTGCGGCCACATACATTCGTTCATAGTGCCCCGATAATGCCTTCTTTGGCCTTTTTCTAACCTCCGTTCTGTTTTGCTTCTTCATGAAGCTGGCAAAGCTTTAGTTATGTGTGCTAATGCGTATATTGATGACTTCAAAATCTCCTGGAAAAGACGCGATTCTTTGGTCGTCGGTTTCCTCAAAGCCCGTTGTAGTCCAAACCCATGGAGGAACGCTTTAGGTGTTCCGCAACTTGATCCGAGTTGTTGAGTTGTGATATGGTCTTTGGCCTTTCCAGCATGTAGCCCAGATAGCTTTCAAGCCGAGCCTAAGGCCCTGATAATGACGGATTTCCATGTTTGAAGATCCCAGAATCTTTGACATCGAGACAAAGACATCACCAGCTCCAGCTTCGTCGTCCATCTATCGCCGGGCCTCTGTTTGAAGCCACGATCCAACTCGATATCTCTCCAAGGGGGTGCCCGAAGTCATAGTTAAAAAGGCCTCGTCATCGCTCCATCTAGATGATAGCGCCTTCTTCCTCATCTCAACCTCATCCAAATTAGTATCATTCTCACTCCCACCAATGAATCTTTCATCTGAAATACAAAGCACCGCATCCAGCATGTGCCCGAGACCAGAAGATACGCTCGGTAATTTCGACCTCTATCCCGCGAGCTACTTCGTGCCCATCCGCCACGGCGGCCAACGCCCGGTCAAAGTCGCAGGCTACACCCTCAGAGCGCTCGCCGAAACCTGCCGCAGCGAAGAGAGATACAATGCCGCCCGTGAATCTCTCATGAGCATCATCCACATTTTCCACGAAGAGATTGAGATGCTCCGAATTGCCGGGTCGCCTGCTGCTAAGCCACATGAGCAAGGCTATCTCAACGGCTGGGAAGATGCCTTGTCAACCGTCATCGGCGTTCTAGACTATTGCATCGTCAAGTCGGTGTCTCAGTCTTCCCCTAACGCTCACCCCGAGACGCCGCAACAGCTTGATCGCCCTTTTCATTCTCTCAGGGTGAAGAAGTTGGCAGAGATGTACGCATGCCGTTCGCTTCTGAGTCTGGAAAGCCTAGAACAGGCTCCCGATGATGTCAAAGGCAAGAGACCGGCGACACCTGATGGAATTGATATTCGCCAGGGAGAAAGTGCCGCCCGCTGGCTGGAGTTCATCGCCGGCGACGAGTATCGTCTCCCAAAGAAGCACTCATCTCTGGATATCCCCTCCACCGAAACTAACGGCTCGGGCGTCAGCACGCCCTCAACGACAAGCAGCGGCTCCTCGGCCCAGAACCTCCTCTCGTTCCCATCCAGCCAAGATACCGAGAGATTCGCCATGGCCGAAGAGAACCAACTAATCCCCGATGCTTCGGAACTCATCCGCGGCATCGACACCATCCAGATCCTGCTCCACTACGAGCGACAATGCCGCATCTCGGAGCGCAGAATCGCAGCGGAGCTAATCAAGTCGAGCGTCCTCCGCCGGGCCATCTTTCAAGACCGTATCGGCCGCGTGCACACGTCCGAGGGTGCGAATGGCAGTCGCAAGAAAGGTGTTGAGGATAGCATCAACGATCCGTTCTTTGGTCAGACGATGTACGAGAAGGCTGTGGGACAAGTGAAGTCGCTTTTCCGACGTTGGGGTGGTACTGCCTGGCAAGATGATACAGAGACGGAGGCAGACACGGAGACTGATACCGATACTGACCTCAGGGAAGCAAGTACGCAAGCTGTTGAAGAGCGCGCTGGCTCGACTAGCGAGAGTCTCGTGGGAGAGTACGGCTATTTCGAGTCCAGCCTTGCATGCCTCAACCCGGATTCAGATCTCTCGTTTCCAATGGTGCCGGAACCTTCGTACCAGCTGGGATATCAGGGAACAGAAGCTTGTGTGCCACATGTACAAGCCCCCATATACCAAAGCTTGTTCATGAGATCGCCGTACTTGACGCCGCAATCTGGAAGCTCATGTGATACATCTAACGTTCTCTCATCATCCGAATACCGCCCGCTGCCTAGTCAATCGTATCTCATGGTAGAAGCGAACAGCCCCAAGGACGCCTGGGATCTACTCTCATCCTCACAAGACTCGCTGGCGAACATTGAGCAGGTACCCGCTTCCAGGGAACGAGAACAGCTCAAGCTCAGAAAGTCACCATTACTTGAATATTATGGCTCACACTACCCAAAGAAAGATCTCGGAGAAGCCCGTCATAGGGCATCACTCGCGGCCTCGCGGTCTCAAGGAACGTCAGCAGAGCCAGATTGTCCTGCAAGTTCCACACTTCCTCAACCTCCTTCCGAACCCTGGACTGTCGTGTGTCAATGTAAGAGATGTCAGGAACGGGCTTCTCGCGATCAGGTTTGAACGATGGTCATGCTGATTTTGGGGGGTATCAAATTTCGTAGGTATTTGGGCTAGGTTGTTGGGTGGTACTTTGGTTAGACTTGAGAGATTGTTAGTTGGATGATTTTTCCAGGAATGCAGTAGACTGGTTTACTCACGAAGCATGGCCATGACTGCTCCTTGTGAACCTTCCCTACTGTTGCCCGTGAAGTGCCCCGCAACGCCATTCCGGGCTTTCGCATCCCTCAACCTTGCTCCCGTATCTTCGCCCAACGTCTATGCAATGGTCTCCGTCTCCATATCTCCCTCCTCGGGCTTCTCGGCAGTCTCCTCAACATCTGTAACAATCAAAGTCAGCTTTGGTCGCCACTTACTTCAAGCGTCTCATTCCGCCCCAAAGTCTTGTCCATAGTAGCACGAGGAGCACTCACCCTGCATGACAACCTCTCCCTCAGCCTCCATCTTCCTCCTCATCGCATGGGCAATCTTCTTCTCCATCTTCTTGGCCTTCTTCTTGCTCATGGGCGCGTTGGGACCGCTGGTGGCCATCAGACCGGGCCTCGCGCCGCGCATGGTGTCCGTCCTCGCAATCTTGTGCTTGTTCGCCTCGGACTTCTTACGGCGGGCAATCTTGGCGCCGAGGGCCTTGTTGGCCAGGCGGTTCTTGGAGGGACCGTTGGGGTTCTTGACTGACGGCATGGTGGCGGTGGTCTTTGGTGTCGTCGAAAGGATTGGGGAATTCGACGTAGGGAGAGGGAGAGGAGAGACGGTGTCGAAGACGGAATGTCAAAACTGGGCAGCGGATGCAATGCGATGGAGCGTCGCTCTGGGATTTTTTAAAGTGGGACACGGGGCGGGATGCAGGGTCGGGGTCCAGGCCTGCCCCGCTAAGGTGAGGTCGCCCCTCGCCGACCCCACACGCCTCACCAAGGTCGGTGTACATCAAGGTGAAGCCAGACCTGGAGGGAGTAAAGTAGTAAGACACGGCTCTGTGGCAGTACTTGTATGCCGCTCGGTCTCTCGGCAAGAAAGCCAGAACATGATACATGATGCCCACAACGGGTTGTTGAGATATTACCGTATTTCTATGTGCCACATCTACTCGGACAACTGTATATCGTGATAGATCCGAGCAGATAAAATTTCAAGATGTCAAACTACAAATCGAGATTGTTGTCCTATTGAGACGCTTTCCTGCCCATGAAATGTGCTGCAACCTGGATCCAAACGCCGAACCTGAAATGCGATATGCCTTTCCCATCTATTCAATCAACGCCAATGTAGACTACTCTTTTACACTCATCACCGCGCCACTCTGTCACTGTTCTTTCCAATAGTGCTAGGGCTGCTAGGGCTTCCCTCGTCATCAACTTCGTCCTTCAGGCCTTTGCGGGCCTCGTCATCGTCGTCGTCGCTCATAAGGCCCTCGAGCTCGAATTCCTCGGCATCACGCACTTGACGGGTTTCACCGGGGCGACCGTTGGCCAGGGGCACGCCATTCGCCAGGTTGACCTTGCCTTCGGTGTTGGTGTTACGGTCGAACAGGTGAATGAGCATCATGGTGAAAAGGAAGAGAAGGAATGCGAAGGAGTAGAGGATAAGGATATACGACACGTGGTCGAGACCCGAATTGGCGACAAGTTCCATCTGCTCCTCAGTGGCACCCATGAAGAGGAAGCCAGAGGCGTACAAAAGCTACAAGGCATTAGATAGTACTCAAACAACGGCTTTTGGGTGATACAAAACTTACGAAGACAGGAATGAACTGCCAGCTGTTGGTTTGGCGTCCATCGGCAGAGACGCCAACGCCGTCCTTGACAACGAAGGCAACCTCAATAACACGGGTAATGCCGACACCCATCAAGGTCTTGCCAAACATGCTGTGGGTCATGGCGCTGATGGGAAGGTCCTGGGGATGGGCAGACATGGCCCATCCAGTGACACCAATGACGAAGCCGGGAATGAAGTTGCGCTTGGGGTTTCCGTCGCGGTCCCGACTGAGCCAGATACCAACAAGACCAGCACACCACCAGATAATACCCATGGTTGTATGTTGCCAGTCGTTCCTGACCCACTCCGTGCCCCATCGATGCTCGGTAAAGGTGTTCACGCAGCCCCATGCCGCAATAACAATGCTGTCAAAAAATTCCTGGGATCGGCCACTGCGTCGCACCCACAGCTGTCCAACGAGGAGAAGCAGGGTCAAGATGATTCCGTAAGCAATGAAGGCGCTACCCATGATGAAATGCGCCAAACACTGGCCGAGATGGTCGCCCTGGCAGAAACCCAGCGAGGTAATGCCGCCAAACAAGAATTGCGTCCAAGCCAAGACTGGCGAGGCCTTGCCCAAGATGCTGTGGGCGGGCTTGATGAAGCGGCGGATACGACCGTTGATGCCCTTCTCGAGATGCAGCCTGAGGTAAATGCCCAAGCCGACCTGGGAGGCCATGATGATCATGAGCCAGTTGGCGAAGGAGGCATGGACGTTATGGGCAACGAATTGTCTTCCGCCATGCATGTGGCCGAGGAAATATCCGACAATGGCGAGGGCGGAGCCGAGGACTTGAGTCGGAACATGCCAGCGGTTCTTGGTCATCTAAAGAGAGGCAATCGTTAGCAACTCTTGGGAAGTTCAGAAACTTGTAGACCGGGTAGGATCGCCACTTACGCCCAAGACCATGCCGACGGGGAAGATGACCCCGAAGGCCAGCATCATGATGAAGATATGAATCCATAGTATTGTGTCCTGCAATTGTCGTCAGTTAGCATTCCTGGCCTTTTTGTTTCTCGTGTTTCTCGGAGGTGTTTCATGAGGTCGGGCAGTTTTTCTCGAAGGCAGTCTGCGTGCGTGCAGTCTCTTGGTTCGGTGAGGTGGTGATGGTCGCTTACGATGGGTTCTTGCGAGACGGTCTCGCCCTCTTGGATGTGGCTGACGCCGTGTTCGTGACCGAGAGCCATGGGAAGCGATGTGAGGATGTATGCAGCAGCAGCGAGTGTCTTGAAGGAGGAGAAAGACTTGAGCGGCAACGAGGCCGTAGAAGAGTCAAGTCGCGCCATGACGGGCGTTTCGAAATAGCAGAAGCGTCCCCTGTGCTGCTGAGCCTTGGTGTGCTGGGCTTGTCGGGGCGCGCTGGAGCCAGACGTGTCACAGACTTGAGCCTGGCTGGAGTGTTTGGAGCGGGGCGGGCTTGAGGATGTCGCAATGCAATTGGCGAGGTTCGGACGAAGCGTCGAGGATGGTGAGGTAAGGTAAGGTAAGCAACAATAGGGACCGGACGAGACGAGACGGGTGGGCGGCAAGGTACGCTGTAGAGCAAGCGAATGTCTACGGGGGAGGTTGTAGCGTGGCGGTACTGGTGCAATGAGGCGCGTGGGGACGGTCGCGGGAAGGGGTCTGAGGGTTTCGATCGGTCGGTCGTTCGGTCAGGCCAAGGCTTGAAAGGTCGGTCGTTACCGTGGGTGAGGACAAGGTAAGGTTGGTGTGGGAGTGGAGGGAGGGAGAAGCTATCTTGGGACGGCGACGGGACCCTTGGGTGCAGGCAGTCCTCCTCTCCTATGATGGTTTTTTGTCGGACGGAGAGGATTTTGGGGGCGATATGTCGTGCAAATAGAGATATGTAGGATGCAAAAGAGAGAATGGCGAAAGAAGAATGAGGCTCACGGCTGGGCTGGGCTTGAAAGAAAAGGAGAGAGAAGCGCCAAATTGGAAAAGACCCGGTCGTCGTGTCCATTAGATTGTGGCTTTGCTGATGCACCGGACACTGAGAAACCCGACCTGGACGGCCTACCTATCCGTACATACCTCCACAGCACTCCGTAGGTAAGGTACGCATACGTATTTCGTACGAGTACATGGAAGCGAGCCGGAGGCTTCGGTAACGCCCATATTGCAAGTGGGGTCGACCTCTAGAAGGTATCGTTACGCACATATTTTGCTGGGGTGTACTTCTCCGGGGAATCCGTTACCCAAACTGCCCGCCCGTTGTGATGGAAGTGGGAGGGACAACATTGACCAGGCCTGGGCAGATTACGCGGGGGATGATGCAAAGTATCTATTCATATTGAACTGTATCGCGTTGTACCTTGGTTTTCTTGTTGTCTGTTCGAGCAGTTGCTGACTGCCTCACACCTGCCTTCTATTGCTGTTGCAGTGCTTGTGACTTGTCGGCTCCTTCTCTACGACTCTGGGAATCTGCAGACGGGACCCGGGAGTGCAGGTGGCAGCTGCTCCCGCCTGCCCTGCACGTTCCACATCCCATCCAGCTCCTTCCCATTCGTCAGCCAGGTACGTATCGCACTTTCCCATCGTGGCATAACAGCATTGAGCGCATTTCCATTGGCCAAGACAGGCATTCACCCCCTCTCTCTAGTGGACCCTCTAAGAAATGCCCAGTCGAAAAAAGTTGTTCGCCCATTTTGTTGTTCCCCGTCGCCGACTTTCCGTTCCAGGTTCGCCGGTCCGCCCGCAACGGCACGACGGGCATCAGTCAGCACAATCACCCGCACTGCACTCTGCCACTCACACTCACACTCATACTCATCCTCACACCTCACACCTCACACCTCATAGGTACTGCGTACTCCCTCATCTTAGTCAATGACTTACTCAGTCGCCAATGTACCTGTCACGATGCTGTAGTCAGAAACGTCTCAAGACTCGCGATCAAGACTCAAGATAACCAACACAACTAGAGGACAGAGTTGCAATTTGGCAGAAGACCTCCCAAGAACACTGCCCCAATGCCAAATGTCCTCTACTCCCCCTGCCAAGCTATCATTTTGAACCCGGCCCGCCTAGCAAGCTCAGCCATACCACGCTCAAGAGCTAACATTCTGCAAAAAATGCCCCTAAAGTCTCTCCCTTCCAAATCCAGTCCTGTTCATCCCCCACACAATTTGCATCTTGGCCCGAGCAAGCCAAGCTGTCCATTTCTTTTACCGCTTGCCAATGCTTGAGCCGATGTCAAGTTTGCGCTTGGCTAGGAGCTACTTTTCTGGCTGCAGCCTGCGACTATGAATCCGCCCACATGTCGTCTCATAGATTCGCGAGTGTGAGGCCTCTGGAAGTCGGATTAACATGTATCCTGGCATGCGTTTGTACAACACACGTAGGCTTATACGAGTGGTATGCACAACTGACTATGACATGACGTATCGATGTGAAGCCATCATCATTTTCACTCACTCAATAAGTAACTTCATCACGTACTACCGTGCTACCTACCCCAATGACTTCACACTTACAGCAGCTGTTTACAAGGCCCATCGTCTGTTGTCCCTGGTTTAGGACAGGAAAAGGGTTCGAGCGGTTCGCGTGGGCATAATCGTGTGCGAGTGCGCCAACTACATGGGATTGGAATGGCACGAACCCTTCTCAGGAACATCTTGACACGGCCGTCAAAAGGCTAGCTAGCCGTGCCATTAATGCCGTCTCAACTCTGGCCTCTGGATGCCCCTCCAAGGTTTATCAGAGCTATGAGTATGTGTGCAAGCTCAGGCCCGATGATCCTCATTTTCTCAGTCTTCATTTCGATGTAAGTCAGCATAGCAAAACTTTCAACTGATCTTGGTCAAGGAGAGACGGCTTGACCATTCGTGTGAGCATCCTCGATATTGAACAGCAGTTGGCAGAGGCGATGTGGTGCAAGATTTGTTCACCCTCCATTGGAGGCATGGATTTTCTCACCAGTCAAAGCCCTATCCTCAATGATTGCGTTGTTGCCGTTAAGATCGCGAGCCTAGGAGGAATACATTCATAGCCAGAAATTACTGCCGTCAGGTCTTCAACAGGAGTACGGAAACCCTCACTGGTGCCCAATAATAGCTCGTTCCCACTGAACTCTTCAGTCATAGGCGGAAGATATGATCTAGTGAGGTAATTGACACTTGGAATTGCCCATGTGCTCTCCCAGAATATGTCGATATGAATGAAGCATACATGTTCTCAAGGCTTGAGGCCGCCTTTCGAGTCCATATCCCAACCATCTTTCCCTTGAAGCAACGTGTCACTCAAGGGAAGTTGCCGGTGCCGGCCCCATCATTCAAGCTTAACATGTGCAGGCAGAACCATGTAAATGCTTCTACCCAGCCACATGATGACAGGAAGACTAATCCTTGGAGCCGTAGGGCTTACATACATGCCAAAGGTCCAATGCACGACGCCGGCGCCGAGACTTAGACGGCGTAGCCCGAGCCACCGGAGCCCTCGCCGGCCAACCACGCATCGCTCACGGCGCCTAGCGCCGCCGTCTCCAACGTTTCTTCACGAATCCCGCAGCCACCAATAACGCACCTCTCGTCTGTCTGCCGTCGCATGCCTCGGCACTTGCGTCGATCACGGAACGATTACTATTCCTCACAGGATGGCGCAATATCACTGACTTACTTAAACACCATGGGAGGTCGCAACTGTTCGCACCCAAATTTCATTCAAGAGCTCTCGCTCGGTATTATTCACTGGCACAAGCCTTGCTACACGGATAGTATATTCTCATGACGCTGAGCACCTTGTCCCTTGAATCCCACCAAATCCCGCTGGAGATTGTCATAATCTCTTTCATTAATCATAAAGCACGCTGATCCACCCACAGAATATCCCTTAGTAGGTATAGCGGAAACCAGGCTGAGCACCCTCCTGCACATTCTGGTTAGCAATCGGTCCTAATCCAAGAAGAGTCTTGTGGGAAACACTTACATCATCAGCCTCAAGCTCCTTCTCGCCCCTGTCGGCCTTCTTGTTCTTGAAGTAGGCGTCAACAGTCAACAAGCTGACCAAAATGCACGTCAACAAGCTGCACGCAATGCAGGCGTACATGCCCGGGCGGTAGTGAGGCTTGTCCTGCTCACGGAAGAGCAAGCTACCGGCAATACCTCCGATACCACCGAACGAGACAAGAGTCGCACTGCAGAAAGCTCGCTTCCACTGGCCACGGATGTTGTTTGCCTGGTACGCCATCACAGCAGGGACGTTGGAGTTGGCACCGGCCGTGGTCAGGAAGACGCCAAAGTAGCGCACCGCCGCGCTGGAGTGGAAACCCATGATGGGAAGACCAACGATGCAGAAGAGCATGTTGATGAGAATGACGGGACCACGGAACTTCATTCTATCACCCAACCACGCGGTCGCGAACATGACGATACCGGCAAAGGCATAAGGCGGCGCGACGAGGCACTGCGCGGCACCAACGTCGAAGCCCATGTTGACCTGCAGAATGATGGGCAAGAAGTATGCAAGCGCGTACGAGACGGTGGTGGTGTTGAAGAAGATCATGGCGTAGGCCCAGATTCTCCAGTCGGCGCCGGCACCGAGGAATCTCTTGAGGTTGAAGGCGGGAATGTGGGCGTCACCGCGATCACGGTTCACGCGCGCGACGATCCAGGCACGCTCACGCTCGCCGAGGAAGTTCCAGTCCTTGCGCTTCTTGGAGTCGGGGAAGTCGACGAGGAGCCAGTAGCCTGCGAGGCCGAGCACGCAGGTGAGAGCACCTTCGATGATGAAGATCCAGCGCCATCCAGTCAGGCCCTGTTGGCCGTTGAGCTGCATCAGACCGAAAGCGAGAATACCGGAGAAGGCGGAAGCGACGCAGCCGAGAAGGTAGAAGACGGAGTATCGCTTTCCGACCTCATCTGTTCATGGTCAGAAGTCCGGTCGTGGAGGCAGCATCAGCGGTGCCAACTTACATCTGGTGTACCATGTGCTGAGAAGGTAGACACAACTGGGGAAGAATCCGGCCTCGAGAACACCCAGGAGAATTCTGCATGCATACAAGTGTGTGTACTTTGCTGAGAAACCCATACCGATCATCACAGCACCCCACAAGAGGGTAAGTCCACCAAGGTGAAGACGAGGTCCAATCTTGCGAACAATGATGGTCGAGGGCGGCTGGAAGATAATGTACGGAATGAAGAAGAGGAGGGAAGCAATGCTCTGTTGAAGTCAATGGTCAGCTGTCCACCCTCATCGACCATACACACAGTCATCGAGTTCAACTCACGTATCGGTTGTCGAGATAGAGACCCAATTCCTTGGTCATGCCTGCAATGGCGGCCGCAGACAAGTTGGTACGATCCATCAATGACACGCAGTACATGGCACCGACAGTGACGACGAGTCTTCGGTCGACTCGGCGAATGATCTTGCGCTGCTCCTCAGCAGTGAAGCCATGGTCAATGTCGAGATCATGGGAGTCGTTGATGGAGCTGGTTCTGATGTGGTCACTGTGCTCGAAGCCTGCCTTCTCGGGGTCTGAGACGGGACGATCCATGTTGGGCGGTTGTGTCGTTGATCGAAGCTCGCTGTGAATGATTCGTCGAAGAAGTGAAAGACGAGGGACTGGTGTCGACGGCGCACAGAAGCTGCAGATTGTGCGTCACTTATTGAGTTTGACCAAGGGAGGGGGTCAATCGAGAAAGAGGTCTGGGCCTTCTAATCAACGCCGACGCAGGACTGAGGAATGCCGTTCGAATAAGGATGTGGAACAAACAACCCAAAGTCAAGAGGGGGGAACTCTCGAGGTTATCTACTCAAGCAACACAAAGATCCTGAGAGTAGCATCGGATGACACGACGATTCGATAACGATCCGCACACAGCCTTTTTGTATCCGTTCGGGTCCAGCCCCAGTTCCCCGCGAAAAGACAGCAAGTCGACGACGACTACAACCCCCTTCTTTTCACCCACCCCCGCCCCCCTGGTCCGTAAGACAAGACATACACGAAAGCACCCAGGACGG